CCCGAACCGAGCCCCGGGGGGGCTGCAGGATGCACCCCCCCTTTGGATGCTTTTAAGGCAGCAGCAGCCAAATTAAGGCGAAGTGTGAAGATCCCCCTGCCCCAGCCGCAGCCTGAGCCTCCTGCCCCCCGGCGATCAGTGTAAGTGCCCCGGACTCTCCCTGCAAAGATCCCAGCTGGGCCGGGGCCGGGGAGCAGCCGGACCCCCAGGAGGTGTTCAAATCCCCCGCCCCCGGCAGCCGCTCCAGGCCCTTCCGTGCAGCAGGGCGAGAGGCGATTTGCCTAAGCCCTGGGGTGGGGGTGGGAGAAAGGGCCTTAGGCGCAGGTTGTTTGTAAGCGATCCTAGGGCAGCCCCAGCCCGGGGGACCCTGTTAAAACCACGGACGGGTCCGCACTGCGCGACACCACCTCGGCCAGCCCGGGGAAGGAGGGGGAGGGCTTGTCCTCTTGGGACTCCCTTAAACCCCGAGCTCCCCTTTGCACCCCTTCGTGTCCGGCCGGATGCGCCCCCCCTGCCCACCGAGGGGCTCCGGTGAGCTCGGGCTCTGCGCTGCGAGGCGAGGGCCCCTTTGGAGCCTTGTTTCTGCGCCGCTTTCCCCACTGCGCACTGGCCTTTCTGGGGCCCTTTTCCCGTTAGATCTCGGCCCTGGCGACAGATGAGTTCAAGCCTCGAGCAGAGCTCGCTGGGCCCTTCTGAGGCGGCCCCTGGGTTGATTTTTCTCTGCGGAAAGGAATAAAAATTGCTGAACAGGTTAATGGGGGCGGCTGTTGGCTTGGCCAGCGTGATAAAAAAGCCAACAGCAGCGAGCAGGGCCCCTGGGGCGATGGGGTCTCAGTTACTTCGAATTGTTCCTCCAAGCCCATCTCTAGCTGTACGTGTTCACTGACAAGTGACAAGAGAAAAGCCCCGAGGAGTGTTTTAGGCGCAGATTCTGGCCCTAAGGGAGGACTGAGGTCTGGTGTTGCTTGGAGCTGACATGAGGCGTGTGCGCTATTCTAATGACTAGTAATCAGGTGATTCTTTACCTCTAACCAGCTCTGCACAGGAAAAAAAAAACCAATTACCCCGAGAACTAGAGTTGTGGAGGGGAATAAAGTCCCGGCACCAGCAGGCGTCTGATGACCGCCGGTTTCCCCCGAGGTTTGCAATGCGCCGCTCACTCAACCCGACTGCTGCTAGTGAAGACGCGTTTTAATAGCGCTGGGAGCTTTTTCCTGGCCTGGCCAGGGGACGGGGCTCGCTGGCACGGGTACAAAGCGCTGTTTGGCCTCACGGCCTGTGTTTGTGTGTGCACGCAGGACCCGCAATCTGCAGCGTGGTGTACATTCAGTCAGTGCTGGGGGTACCCGAAGCAGGTTCAAATCCCCTGCGGTAAGGCAAGCGGGGCAGAGATGTGGCTGTCGGGACGCAGGAGTGGGGTTTGTTGCTAGCCTGCGCTCCTCATGCGTTGAGAGCTTTGACATATTCCCCGGTGATTTGGTGGATGGAGACAGAGGGACCGGTACTTTTGCCTACCGGGGGTCAGGCTGGAATTGGGGAAACTGCCCCAGCCCCACTGGAATAGAAAAACGAGCCTGTGTTATTTTAATACAAACGTAGCGCAACTCCATGGAGACAAATCCCCGCATATCGAGTTAATAACTGCTTAGAAGCTGGTTCTGGGGTGAGAAATGTCCTTCCCCCTCCTAGTATATGTCTGTGGGGAGCTTCTTCTTGACAGACGGGCAAGAAGTGACTAGGTATCCGGGACTGTCTGGTATGCGCGTTTGGGTTTGTAGTGCGCATTGGTTTAACCTGGCCTGGCTGCTTTCTCCCCTTCCCCGCAATTGTCTACATACAACTCTTCTCCTTTAGAGGCATCCCCAGGTTCACAGAGCGCGGCTTCCAGTCTTGTCTTGCGCTCCAAATAGCTGTAAACAGGTTGTCGACAAAGCGCTAATTTTCGCAGTTAAAAATCGCAGGATTTCTTGCCTACGAAAATAGCAGCCGTTTCGCTGTCATTCGTACAAATTCCACATTTAAAATGCCTCGGCGCGCGAGGAATACAATCCCCCCTCCTTTCCATTCCTAGGTTTTGTACAAAGGGGAGATCTATTTACTTATGAAGCTGTGGGTGCATTAATTCCTCCCCCCGATATTTGAAGGGAGTTCAGTGCGTTGGGGGTTATGGATTCTCTGGCTGTGATTTGGAGAGTAGCAGAAATGCTGCAGGCTGTTCCCTGCCTGGTAGGATCCCTCCTGCTTCTGTGTCCCTGGGTTGCGAATTCCTACTTTTTGTTACAAGTTTGTGTCTCAGCGCTTGAAATCCATGGGACGGTGTTAAACGTTTGCAGATTGGTGAGGCATAAAACAGAGCAGATGAAGACTAGCTTGATGCTGTTACTGGCAATAATAAATAAATGGATCAGATTTATTTCCCACGGGGCAAAACCGAGGCCCCAAGACAGCAATGGGAAATAGGAAAGCGTTCAGTTGGGGGAAAGTTTCAATGATCAATGCAAGGGCTAGATTGGTTTATGGAACGCGATTACTTTCTAAAGTCGAGACCAAACCATATTTAAAATGCGAGCTCGCATCTTGTGTATTTAATTACAGACATTAAGTTTAAAGAACTGACTTGTTCCAAGTGTTGTCTGATCTATAAATTGTGTATTGCCTATTTTAGTTACTAATATAGTAATATTAACCTGTACTTATTGGCTACACAAGGTACATTTTAAATATACCCTTTGGATCTACGGAAATATTACCCACAAAAACTTGTGAATATCTAAAATGCGGTTCCAAGTTGCATGGACCCCTGCTCTCCATGAAACTGTAACTGCAAATCCCAATAGGATCAAACTGTCCTGTTCAAAATACTCACTCATCAGACCGCTGGAGTTATTGGGGTTTGAGAATCCTACAGCCTATTGGCAGAAGCAAGTAGCAGAAATCTTTAAAGATTTCTACGGCGAGTAAATTCTCATCTCCTAGTTAAACAACTCATCCCAAAGAGCTAAAGTTACTCCCCGAAAAGAACCACGCCGGATTCATTTAAAAATCAGGTACCATTTCAGGCAAACATCGGTGCTTATGGCCCTGCTGCACGATATTGACAAGACCTGGGTCTAAACACGCTGTTTGCTTGCTGTGCTTAGTATAATATTGTAAATGAAAAGTACATTTGCGCAGTAAAAGTCCGGGTTGATGCGCAGCAGCCTCGCTGGAGCTGTCAGGCCTTATCTTTATTGGCTTTTCCCAGTCTCTGTCCAAGTTTAAGAGCGGTCTCCTTTTATCTTAGTGAGCTTGCACTTAGAATGTTTACACAGGGCAACTTTTTGTTTTAGCAATTATTACCAAGGTTAAAAAACTGACTGGAGACAGGAGATAAGTGGGTAATATTGCACTGAAGTAGGCTCTCAGGACTAGAACCTGCCCAGATCACAGAGCAAAATAAAACGAACCAGCAAACCCTCTTCTAGGTGTTTTCCAGATCAATTGAAAATGAAGGCGAATTCCCCGGCAGATATTGCAAATAATTTCCGTGTAACAAATCGCTGCATAAATCCAATAAGATTGAATTTTGGGGGGGAAAGTATATGAAACGAGAAGAGAACTGAAAGACAATAACGCAATATGTTCACTGTAGCTATGTAAGTGAAAGCTTTTGTCAATCTATAATTTGTTAAGAGACAGAGAGAAAACAGCAAGGATCAAGTCCTGATCCCATGTACTTAGTTGGGACCGAGATTTAGCCTTGATACTTAGTGGAAACTTTCCTACAAAGTAAATTTACTGTAATTGACCAGTAACGACTTTATTTGATGAAGAAAAGCGAATGCAGCTATTTGGGGGTTTGTTTAAAGGACATGGGAGAACTGTGTAAGTTATTTTATTTTGTATATAACGCTTTCCAGCAGCAGCTAAAACATTGCTAATCGTACCACTAGGACTGAGACAAGGGAAACATTTGCTTTTTGGATCCATCAGTTGAACATTTTAATATCCAGGTGTTGCCCTTTTTAAAGTTAAAAAGAAAAAGCGAAGGAAAACCGACCGATATTTCCCCTAGTCAACAATCCTCGATTGCTTGTTCTGCTCTGATGGGGCAGAAGGCAGCGCGGTTGCTATTGTAGGCTCTAGTCAGGGCCGGGGCCGATTCCTCAGCGGTATCTCCAAGGCGGGGGATACTCTTTATAACCGCCAAACTGATTTTTTAATCCCAATGTTTTTAATCCACAGCGAATTAGAAGAGTAAACCTGAGTGCGCTGATGTTTGGTCACCCACCCATGCGTAGAAATAGAATTCAGTCGAGATTTCTCCTGAGTTATGCTGTTAGCAGCCTGGGAAACCCCAGGCCCTGACTGCTTATAAACCAGATCAGGAAAAGAATTAACAAAAGGGGGCTCAAACCCAGGGCACCGCTCCAGTGGCAATGGGAATCAAAGCGGAGTTCAGCGTGGGGGGGGGGAAAGGGGGTTGTTTCTTAAAGTCCTACCTGAGCTAAAGGGAACCGTGACGTTTCCCCTGCTTGGGAAACACGAGGGCAGGTTTAGAAAATGCCCCCTGAAAAGTAACCGACCAGAACAACCGAGGGATCGGCGCCAGAATGCAGTGACCTGCCGCTCTGGGCACAAGCGGGTCGATGGGGCTGTTTGTGGGACTGGGACAAAGATCCAGCCTGGGCCAGCTACGGATACTTGTGATTTTTCCAGCTGCAAATTAGCCCTGCCCTTGACTTGACACCCGGGCGGCTGATGTTTCAGCAGATTTCAATTTGGCAAACAGGCCCGGGCTCACCAGACGCACCAGGGCCCAGTATTGGGGGGCGGCTGCAGGCGGGAGTCAAAGGACAGGTCTGACCTGCTAGGCAGAGCCGCTCATGTTAAACCGAAGCAAACCTGCGCATTCAGACGGCGGGGTTGGAAATGGGACCGGCGCCGTTTACACGGAGCCCGTTGGCTTGTCTCGGATTCGAGCCGGCTTGGCACTAACCACGTGTGTCCCTGTCGAAAAGGAAATGCTCCAGGAGAAGGGCCTGTCTGAAACGGAAGAAGGGTTTCCAGCAGCCCAGGCACCTGGTCATGCCGAATCCACCGCGGGCTCCCCGGTTCTTGGAGTGGCAGGAATCGGCAGCACTCCGCTGAGCAGTCCGCAGGGCCAGGATCCGGAGCAGGTACGCACCCTGTTTGCACAACACCCATCCCTCCCCTGCTTGCCGGGCTCCCTTTCCACTCCCCTAACCTCTCCAGCTAGCACCCGCGTCCCAAGTAGCTCACCATCCCCAAGGCAATACATTCCCTGCTCCCCCGAGATCTTCTTGCACCCGGGGATTGAGTTTTCATGAAATTCTTTGCTCTAAACTTCCAGGGCTCTTACCCGAGTGCTCCACAAGCGCTTTAGGGGAAAGAAGCCATAACAGAGAGAATTTACTGTCACTGCCACAGATGGCGGGATTTAAAAATGTTTCCATTTTTCTCCAGCTTGGTGTTTTGTTTTGTTTTTTTTTTGCTCCCCTTTTAACTTGCAAGCTCTCCCCGCCTGCTCTGGTTTTCTTTGGAAGGACGTGTTTAAAGTCTGCCACTCCGAAGTGTCTGTCTTTGCACAGTCTACCCAAAACGGCAGTTGCTGTTTGCAATCAAAATTCAAGATCAAGAGTATCAGAGGGGTAGCCGGGTTAGTCTGGATTTGTAAAAAGCAACAGAGGGTCCTGTGGCACCTTTAAGACTAACAGATGTATTGGAGCATGAGCTTTCGTGGGTGAATGCCCACTTCGTCAGGCGCAGATCAAGAGTGTATCCAAGCCATCCCGGTTATCCAGAGTTCTCCGCAATCCGGTTTCCTTTGGCAGGTCTTTCATTTTTGTCTAGATTTAGCTCATACCTTTTTGACCCACGGACCTTATTCATCTGCATTGCTACAGAAACATAATTATGACCACTCTGATTTCATATGCCAGATTGAGTGCCTCTGTACCTTTTTTGTAACCCCACTCCAAAAACTGTTCTGCATCCTGAGATTTTTATACATTAATTAAATACAATTAAGCTCCTTATGCCAAAAAGGTCTGACTGTAAATTAGATTGCATTCAATCATGCCTTCTGATTGGCTAGGGGTATTTAGTGTGCTTTTTATAAAGTGTTGACAACTTTCCCATATCAGAATTATAACCTGTCAAGGGGGTGAGGAGGGGGGGAAAAAGGAAGCAGAAATGTAAAACCATGTAGTTTGTATTTGCTGTTTAAGCTATTTAAAAAAAAACACCCTATACTGTGTAATCATAAATGCATCAATTAATAATAATTATGCCTCGAGGCTTTTTAGCTCAATTTTCCTCTGTTTTTCTTCCAATCTCTGATCTCCAGCCAGGTGTTGGAAAGGGAAAATAGAACCGTGAAAAGAAACGTGAAATGTTGACAATTAGTGATAGGTTATAGAAAACTCTAATTTGTAATAGAAACCTCTCAAGATGCTCAGCGTCTCCTTCACAACAGGAGCCAAGTACAGACGTGGGTTTGCTTAGAGCTGAAAAAGTGAGTGGGTCTCAGATGCACAGATGATTCCATCCTAGTTTCCTCGCCTTTAGATTTCACACACCAACGACTGAAGCTTAGTGGGGTTAGCAAATAACCATGGGATTTCAAGGAAGGATATGAACATCTAGAGTTTGATCCTCCGCCCATTCAAATCAAGGGGTAAAAGCTCCCATTGACTTAAATGGGGCAGGAGGAGGCATCTCGTGTTGAGTTCCTCTTACTTCAACCTCGCTATCAAATGATTTCCATGAACTCTGTTCTCATGTTCATCACTTTCCTTAAAAGGGAACAAACACCCAACCCTATCTTGTCTATATTTTACATATGTACCTACACACCTATTCTAAACTTCTTATATAGGCAGCTGAATAAACAGGTCAGGAGTTCTCTACTGAGAAATTATGTTCACTATAAGTGTGTGTGTCTATATAATAAGGGTTTACATCTACTGGGTCGCTTGTGCTCCACCTGAAATCAGTGGGAGTTTTGCTATTGATTACATTAGGAGCAGACTTGGTCCCAGTATTTGTAACCTAACATGACAAAACGTTTTCAAGTCCTGGCAGTTTTGCTTTCAGTTTTTCTTGTTATTTACAAGGCTTTGACTAACCTGAATAGCACATACCCTACCTTAATTTTTTCTTGCATTCTGGGCCTGATCCTGCTTCCACTGAAGTCAATGGCAAAACAAAATAAACAAAGATATAAGTTATAATATTTGGTTTGCAGCTGGTTTGAACTGCAAGTTTTCGCATGTTGGGCTAGATTTTTTTAGTCAGTTTTTGGGAGAAAAACGAACTTTAAAAAATTGAAATAAAAATTAATATAAAGATGATACTGGAAAAATGTTTCAGCAACACAATTATTCTGTTCTTACATTATATATGCATTATTATTTTTCTGGTGGATGCATTTATCTTTAGTTGTATTAGAATCTCCTTTTACAGTTCATTACTTGGATAATTAAGATTTGTAAAACACTTTAAAGATGACAAGCACTTTTTTTATCTGTAGTTCTGTAATCTCTACTTTCAAGGAAATACTGAATGAAGCAATGTAGGAGTAATGTAAAAATAATCTAACCACTGATAAAACTGGATTATCCGAAGTGGTTTTTACATGGGACTGATCATATGAGAGTTTGTCTGCATGGGGAGTTATTCCAGAATAGCTAATTCCTGATTTTATTCTGGAAGAAGTGTGTCTACAGGTGGAGTTAGTCCCTTATTCTAAATTCTCAATCCACTTTGGAAATGGATTCCACACATGGAGTTAATTGGAATAGTTAAACTGTTTTCCATTCACACTTTTCTTTCTTCTGGATTAATTTTCATGTATAGACAAACCCTGAGTATTGTTAATTGTGTAAGTAGTTGCTGGATCGGACTGAGGCCCATAGTGTACAATGAGAGAGCCAAGGACACTGCAGGAGAATAATATATTATGTATACCCATCATATCATTTATTATCAATCTTGTTATAAAAATCACAATCTATTAAATAACTTGCTAGGCTGGTGGGATGGTGGTGCAAAGAACAATCCATGTAACTCTTTCTCCTAATTTTAAAACTGTCTATTCTGAATAATGGGGGGAAAAAGTTGATTCCTTTTGACCTGAATGTTCTGCATTCTGCTCATATAAGAGTGAGTTACCACCCTGGCAATTGCTGGCTTTTTATCAGCTAATTTAAAATATGCACTTAACAGGTAAACATTTTCCTACAGAACTCCACCCTTTGCTGCCACTTTCCCCCGCTACATTACCAGAACATCCTAGAGCAAAGTACCATTTTGCATTTAATTTTATTTTTTGAGGACAAGTATCTTTCTCGCCTTGAACCGAGCAGACAGATAAAAGGTTGGATTTTTTTTCCTTTTGTTTTTACCTGTCCCTCATCTTAAAAGGTGGAGCTTTACCTACTGATACACAGTTATATTTGATCATATCCACAACTCTTAGAGCCGGTACTCAGAAGTCTTTTGTTGTTTTTTTAAAATCTATTTGGCTGCAATATCCTCACTGGATATGAAGCATTCTGCAATTAATATTGATTCAGTTTGTTTCTCTCATTTTTTGGCAATAGGCAGTGGAATCTTTAGGGCCTGCTCCTGCGCCCAGTGCAGTCAGTCCTGGTTTTGCCTTTCTTGTCCGAAGAACATCAGCTCGCAGCTTTGCTTTGAGGAGAGAAATCACAGACTGAGAGTACTTTTGATGATGGTGATTTTGTTTTTGTTGTTTTGATTCTTTTTAGACCATAGAAAACATCAAAGTCTATCTCCACGAGAAGGAACTATGGAAGAAGTTTCATGAAGCTGGCACCGAAATGATAATAACCAAAGCAGGCAGGTTGGTGAAAATGCATTTCACATCCTTAAAGTCTCTATTCTATATTACATGTCACAATTTGCCCCAGTGGAATCCTTCTAAGTGGGGGGAGGGGAGAGATCTACTGCAAATGATTGAATTTTAAGAAACTAGGTCTTGATTTAAGACTTCTATAGGATTAGTCACATACTGAAAGTTATGCACCCACGTTGGCACTTTGCTGAATATGGTCAGAAGTGAGCACGCAATATAAGAAAAGCAAGTATATTGTCTTGGACGATATACTCTGGTCACCTGATAAGTCTAGTTTAGTTTTAATTCTCTATGCTAATATTTCCTTTGATTATTTGTGTTTCTAAGACCGTCAGGACCATAGTGATGTCAGTTCTATACGTGACAGTAATTCCTTCGTGAGCGAGAGATTACCTACTGTGTATAGACTAGTAATGCTCTGTGGTACACTTGTGGAAGTAATAAAACCTTCGCAAACTGAGACCTTGTTATAAACGCTGGTATCAAACCTTTGTTGAGTGGAGGGTTGAAGCTCCCATTTTGTGTGTGCGGGCAGAGCCGTCCCTTGGCTAGGGCGAATCGGGGCAACCACTCCAGGCCCCGTGCTTTGGGGGGCTGGTGCGATTGGCCAGCACGGTCGGTCCCAGAAGAGACGAATCTGTCACTTCTGCCCCGCACCCCTCTAGCGACAGCCCTGTGTGTGGGGACTGGCCAGGTGTGAGTTAGCATGGGTCTGCTTTAGATTGCTCTCCATCCCTTTGCATTAAATGCTATTCACGTGTCCGTAAGCTCGATTCATGTTTTATTTTAGCTACCATCATCTTCATAATGTGAGAGAGGGCCTAGTGCTGTGCTGAGCACCCTCGACTCTCAGTGAAGTCAGTGGGATTGGAGGAAGGTGGTTCTCATTGTGTTGTTATAATGGAATCTCACAGCAGTGGACATGTGATGGGCTGCAAGGCCCCAGTCTAACAAACTGTTCCACTAAGGTGCGATGTCCTGTGAAGTCAATGGAAAGATTGCCCTTGACATCTGGGGAATTGGATCAGGTTCTTGTGAAGGATTACCATAAAGATGTTTTTAAAACCCCTTTAATTTTCTTTAGTACCACCCTTCTATAGGCAACTGCTGATTTAATACGACAGCACATTGGAGAATCATAAAGGTGTAAAAAAGAGCAATGGAAATAGTGTGAAATCACCTGAAAAAATGCCTTTTAGTGGTAATGTTTGTTCTATGAGTCCTGACCCATAGCCCACTGAAGTCAACGGGAGGCTTTCTCTTGACTTTAGTGGATGCTAGATCAGGTCCATGGTTCAGTAGGGCTAAATCTGACTGTGAGATCCAGACTCCAGAACTCGGCTACAATGTGGCATATGAGCAGCTCTGCAGGATAATGGTGTCCTGCTCTCAACCTGTAAGGAAACGTGCACTGAATACTTCCTTATAGGCAGCCTTTATGCACTATTGCTCTTGAAGCACTTAAAGGGTTGCCCACTCCTCCCCATATCTCCCCTGCTCCCCCCACCAAAAAAAAAAAAAAAGTGCTCCTCTGTCTCTATTGGCAGTGTTGACAGACGCACTCGACTCTATCATTGGAATAACGGAACCTATCCCACCAGGGAGACGAGGTGAAACTGTGTTTGTAAATCACTTTAAAGAAGCTGCCACATGTACAGTGGGTCAGCTCTATGACCCGGTCCTGCAGTCCTTATGGAGATAAGATCCCCCCACGGGATTGTAATTTGCTATATAAAGTCTTAGGGCCGGATCTTGAAGCCTTTATTCACATTCATACTCCTATTAATTTCAACGGGGTTGCTACTCACATTAGAAATGGCTGAAGGATCAGGACTGCAAATACTGGGCCTGTAAACAGAGAGAGAAATTTGACCAAATTCTAGAAACTCAACATCCCAAATGTGTAGGTTATCTCCGTGTCAGTCTTAACTTAGATTGTTTAAACAAATCCATATGGCCAGGACCCAGTCCTGCATTCTTTGGGGGCTTAAAACTCCCAGTGAAATCATATTCATGCTTCACAGCTGCTCAGAGGGGACAGGGTGGCTCTGGTAATTGTCCCGGGGATGTGGAGCCTTTCGCTTCTAGAAGACCAGGGCCAAATTCTCTGCAGGTGAAAATCAGTGCAGCTCCATCAGAGTCAATGGAACACTGCCAATTTATGCCAGCAGAGAATTTAGCCCTCAGCTTGAATCAGGGCCTAAGTCAGTAGTGATTCATTAACAAGCCATATGAAATAAGTGGGTAGTTTCACTTCTGTTCTGAGTGGAGAGTTACAATCAACTTCATCCCAAATGGCAACTTTAATTCTCAGCAGTGAGGCCAAAGATTGAATGGGCCTCGTTACTTGACATCTATCTAATACACCGAAGTGTAATGCACCCATTGATGCATTGGCTTCTAAAGGTGATCCCTCCATGTCAAGGATGAGGCATGTAAGCAGGGAGACAGAGGTGTGTGTGTGTGTGTGTGTGTGTGTGTGTGTGTGTGTGAGCTTCCTCTAACAGCGCTTGTGCCTGTTCTGCAGTAAGAGTGGCAGTCAGTCTCCTCTAGGCCTGTTTCTCCAACAGTTCTCACCAGCGCTGAAAATAAAAATACCTGTAACAATTAACAAAAGAGCTAGTCTTACAACAACTAAACAACCAAGTTAAGCCACGTGACGATAAGTCTGATTTAGACGCACAATTCAAAACTGATCAGTGTGCAAAACCTTCTAGAAACAGAACCGTCCAGCAGCACAAGAGTAGACTTCGGTTCAATTCTTATTGAAAATCGTATTTCACCCAAACCGTTTAAATGCATAGTAATAATAAACCCACCCACCCCCAATGACCCAATTTTAAAAAGATGATACAGACTCTGTTGTTTCAAGGGGCCTCATACCAGGCTCTCATTCTGTGTCTGCAAATAATATAGAAACAGTTGAGTGCAGACACAAAATATGGTCCTGATCCTGCAACAGACACTCTGTGTGTGTGTGTGTGTGTGTGCGCGCGTGCACGTGTGCAAAGAGAGGGGGTTCTAAGCAGGCTCAGGGATGCACCCATGTGCACTCAACTTAAGGATCAGGTCACTTAAATGTCTAATTATTTAATTTCAAAAGGCAAAAAAGAGAAGGGAAAAAAAAGTCTGTTTTTTAAATTCTAAATTGCAAATGTAACTTTAATGACCAGTTTATTTCAAAAGCGGGTAAAAAAATAAGATAACGGGAGATCTAGTTCAAGGGTGCTGGTGTAAAATAGGCTTTCTCTAATTATAATCCAGACACCGATAACTCAAGAGGAGTGTGTTTATTTCATTTGTTGTCAATCTGTAGAACTCCACAGACCAAGTCAACTATAAATTACCAGGAATTTAGGACTAAGAATTACTTTGGGGGATTATTACTCCCTCTTAGGACTGATCTGTAGGAGATGTTTGGAGAACACAGCAAGCTCAGTACTGAAATAGGAATGATGTTCTTGCCAAGAAAGCTTGATTTATAAAGTGGAAACATCTTTAAAATGTACTCACTATCTTTTTAATGTTTGACTCTTTTATTGTGGGAGGGGGAAAAAGATTATTTTATGTTAAAAGGATCATCAAAAGATAAAAAGTTTGCTAGCAAAGTTTCCTGAACTTTGTGCAAAACCATTCGCCTTTTTTGTATATAAAATGCCACAACTTTTCATGTCCTGTTTGCAATGCAGGGTATGCAAATCAATACCTTTGTCATGTCTTTTTTTAAAAAAAGGTTTGTTCTTCTACTTAATTTGTATTGTCTTTAAAGGAACACATTAAACATAACACAACAATTAAGAAGCCAGCCCTGCATTCCTTGCACACTTGCAATTCCCAGGCATTGTGTGTGCACAAATGCAGGATTAGGCCTAAAGAAATGGCAGAAATTTAAAGTAAAATTCATTATCCTTTTTTAATGCAAAAAAACCCCCCAAGATTTGCATTTTATTCAATGTAAAATTAGTATGTTTGACTACCTGGTGGGTCAAATGCTGCCCTTACATACATACATACAACCCCACTGCCTTCAATGACTTTCACTTCAGTCCTGATCTTGCAAAGAGGAGCACCTAAGTGGAACACTGGACTTGCACGGAGACCTAGGGAAGTCAAAGGGGATGTGGAGTGGTTTTTTTTTTTTTTTTCCCCAGCATTATGGTCTATTATTGTGTGTGTAATAAGCCAGGTGATAGCTTTAGATGTTCAGATGTATCAATACAATACAATTTTTCAGAAAGATAAAAGCACTTTTCCCGACAGAAAGATAATCCGCAAACCATAGTTGCCTTGAAAATAAAGGGGTGTGTGTGTGTGTTTGTATGTGTGTGTTTGTGTTCCTCTTCCTTATATATACTCGCTCTCCAGTATGTATCACAGTACGTACATTTTTAAAGTGTGCTGCAGATTAATACACTCCTCACTAAGGGCACTTACACGCTTTTGTTTGTATTTAAGGCATGTAATAGTCACAAATTTAATATGATGGAACAATTTATACCCAAAGCAAATTGTACAACTTCATTTCTTTTCTGTCCCCATGCTCTGTCCCGAATTAGGCAAGTCCTGTAGTTGTAGCTATCTTTGTGGTTCAAATCTGTCTCAATTCTCCAGTGGGCTTGACCCTCCAAACCCTCATTCATTCAAGTAGTCTTTACTCATGTGAGTAGTCCCATTGGTTTCAGGATTTCTTCTCCCCTTTCACCCTTTTCCAGAGCTGTCTGTCCTCTAATTTTAGGGCTTTTTATCCCTCTGAGGCGCCGATCTTTACGGTTCCTACCCGGTACCATTCCATGCCCCAGGTGAATGGGCACGCCATCACTCCACAGGCAGTGTGAAGACAGGTTTATTGCTAATCAGCAGGGAATGCCAATCCACAGGGCAGCTGACCCCCTTCCTGTGGAGACCTGACTCTAAATTAATATGTCAATTTCTCTACAGTGACGAACATCCAGATGATGATGATGATAGTGGGCTTGTAACTACGGAGT